TGCAATCACGGGCCCTCGCACAGCCGGCGGGGACACCGCCGCGGCTCAGCGTAGAGGGCCAGTCCCGGCGGCGATATCTCTAGCTCAGCCCGGCAGTCCTTCGAGCCCCCTTCGCGCCCCCGCAGGCCCAGCGCCCATGTCTGCGGCCGCCGCGTCTCCCTGCTGGTCGCGTTCCGAACTCCGCCTCCGGAGCGACCCCGCGCTCATTGGTCGACCGCCCCCTGCCCGCGCTCATTGGCCGGCTCAATGCCCGCGCTCATTGGCCCGAACAGTACGGGGGCGGGTACTTATTAGCTCCGCCCCTGGGGTTCAGACCTCTGAGTTGCTTTCCTGGTTCCGGACTCGGCCCTGGTCTCAAATCCAGTCTCCTCTGCGAATCCCCCACGGAGTAGGGGGAGGGGGAAAAAAAACCCAACACAGTTCAGTCCTAGACATATCCTATGCAAGTTGGAGGAAACCGCATCTTCCTCCGCACCTTGTTGGACTTGAGTATGACCTCTTTGGGACTCAGTTTACCAATTGAAAAAGGAGGCGAGATAGGGAAGGGGTGGTGACCTTTAATAGTGAAAATCTTTCCCAAAGTGCCAATTTTTCATGATAGGGATGATAAATTAGTGACCCCTTCCTTTCCAAATTCTGGCTGCTGGAAGCTCTGCCCATAGCGGGAAGGCGGGAAGGTAGGCAAGTGTACTGCATCATAGGGACACCCGACTAAAGAGACTCAAAGACAGTTCAAACCTTCAGCCAGTAGGGTCTGTTCTCGTTTCTTTGTACTTTGTAAATCATGTTTGAAAACAATAATACACGTGGTTAAACATTCAGAAAGTAGACAGAAAAGCGAGTCTCTCGTCCATTCGCTGATTTTCCTCTTATGGGCAACCTCGTAAATTCTTTGGAGACTGCTTTCTCACAACGCCTTCTAAAGCAGTGCGACAAATCTTTTAATCTCAGGCCACACTGAGCTGCTGGGTGCTTTACATGTGTTGCTTAGTTGCAGCCAGACGGGACACAGTAGTATGTTACCCCTTTTTACAGATGAGGAAACTGAGAAATGGATGGACCCTGGAAGATACTGGGCCTGCCAATGTTTGGAGGCCAGAACCTGCCCTCTTGTCTCTATGACGATTTCTTGCCTTGTAGACGAATTACAGAGCAAACCATTAACCTTCTACTACCTCATTTCTTAAATCGCACAGGGTGAAACAAACCTTCGTTTATTAATTCACTCTGCCGATATTTGTTGAAAAGCTATTATGCACCAAGCCTTGTGCTAGGCATTAGGGAGAATGTTGGCCCCGGCCCAGTTCTGTCCTGAGCACAGTAAATGGGACACAGTAGGCCTTAGATAACTATGAGGTATAGAAATAAGTAAATGAATGAATGATGAACAGAGTCATCTTACCTCTGCAGAGCTTCCCATGCCTTATCCAGGAGAGAAATTTAGCTACCTCTTCTTCTTGGCTCGCTTAGGAAGTTGAGTGTTTCTTTCTTTCTTTTTTTTTTATTAACGTGGTAGTTTTGGAAATGGCTTGGATTTGGGATGAAGACCAGAGAAATCCTCTGAAAGTACAGGACTTTTAGTTTTGGTACACCGTTACTCGAAGGCCTTTTAGCATGTATTTTTTAATTGGAATGGGAAAAGAAAAAGACCGTGAGGACAACAAACAAGGCCATTACCGATTTGATTCGGTTTATTGGGACATAAAAATAATGGTGCCTGGGTTTGAACTCTAGTTCTGCCACTTATTAGCTGCACGATCTTGGGCAAGTCAACCACCTCTGTGATTTAGTTTTCTCCACGGTAAAATGATAGAACCCACCTCATAGTGTTGTTAGCATTAAACAACTATATAGATGTAAGCGCTTAGGAGAGTGGCATTTTGTATACTCTATGCAATGGTTATTGTTATTCTTATCATAAAGCTAATAATTGTTAATATTGCGGTTACTGTTATTCCTCGACATCATTAATTTCCTTCTCTTAGATCTGCAGTTTTCACATTCCCGCCCACCCAAACGATACTGCGGACTCTCCTCTCGCTCCGCCTTTTCTCAAAGGCCGCAGTCTCGCAGCTGAGCGATGCACGCCGGGTCTTGTAGTTGGTTCGCAGAGTCCCGGCGATTGAGGCCTCGCAGGTGAACTGCATTTCCCAGCATTCCTTGTGGCGGCGGCCGTAAAGCGCGACGGTCGAACGGCCGGTTCCGGCTGAATGTCAGTGCAGGGCTGTGGGCCGGGGAGGAAGGTGGTTGGCGGTCTCTTCACCACCTCCGCGGCTTGCGTTGCGGCCGCGGGCTCCCGGCCGCTCGGCCGCTGGAGCATGAGACCGTGAGGCGAGCGACGGGCTGGGGCCGCCAACATGTTTGGCCGCTCGCGGAGCTGGGTGGGCGGGGGCCATGGCAAGTCTTCCCGCAACATCCACTCCTTGGACCACCTCAAGTGAGTGTATTGGGGACGGAGGTGGGAGGCCGCGGGGCTGGACATGGGGATCGGGGAGCATAGCCCCCGGCCGGGGGTCCTGGGGGATGTGAGAGCGGTGGTGGAGGGCGGAGAGAGACGCCCGGGAAAGGCTGTACGGTAGTTAAGAGGGAGGGCTCTGGAGTCAGGGCGCCTGGGTTCGAACACTGATCCCGTCACTCCTCGCTGTGTGACCTTGGGCAAGTCGCTTAGCTTCTCAGAGTCTCAGTATCCCCATCTATAAAGGAAGGGCATGAGATTTTAGTTTACAGACGCAGATTTCGTTCTTGTTGGGACAGATCGTGGGCACCAAGTTTTCCGGGGTCGTACTTCTTAGGCTGGACAGCTGGGGGGTCGAGGGTCAGAGGTCTGGATCCAGGAGTCGGACGGATCTGGATTCGAATCTATGTGTAAATTTAGGCCTCAGGTTCCTCAGTTGTAAAACGAATTGTGACAGCACCCGCTTTGTACCATTGTCTTGAGGGTTGGTTGAGAGAATGCTCGTAAAGCTGGAAGCGCATACAGGTACTCAATGAAGGGCAATAATTAAAAAACAATTTTCTTGGAGGAGTCTAGTGAGGAACTGTCAGAACTAGAGCTCTGGGGGGAGGACAGGTGCAAACAGGGTCCAGGTAAGGAGGAGGAGTACACAGAGTGGCTTTGCAGTCAGACCTGTATTCAAATTCTGATTCCACCACTTAATGGCTGTGTGACCTTGGACAAATTACTTCACCTCTCTGAGCCTCTGGTTCCCCATCTGCAAGTGGGGATGGTGAAACGTTGTGCAAGGATTCAGTTGTGTCATGCCCTGAAAGAAATTGACCCAGTGTCTGTTACACAGTAGGTGGCCAGTAGTGGTAGCTGTACTTATCAGTTAGACAAGGCCTTCCCAGACCACCCACCTAAAGTACTTCCCCCACACCATCAATGCATCTCTAACTATCTGCAGTTATCCTGTTTGTTTTTACCACTTTTCTGTCGGCTACTAAATTAGTATCTCCAGGAGGGCAGAGACTGCTTGCTTTGTTCAGAGTTGTATTCCCAGCATCTAGCGCTATGCCTGGCACATAGTAGGAGCTCAATAAATACTTAAAAAGTGAAAAAAAAAATGAATGAACTGGGGAGAGCTGCAGAACATAGAGGCCAAGCCTAGGATTTTTCCAGCGGGGGTTGGGGCTATGGAAAATAGATATCTTTGAGGAGGGAATAACTTCAAGGAGGGAAATCTAGCTGGGGGCGGGGGTGGCGGGGGGAAGTTGGGTGGAGGAGGAGGCAAACCTTTGGTGGTAAGAAATAGGCTGGTTTCCAGAGGGAGCTCCCAAGATTACTGATGGGAAAGAAGAAGGATTGAGCGGGGAGGTGGGGAACAGTGGGAGGGAGACAGGGGTCCATGGAAAGGATTGGTGGGAAGGAAATTAGTTGGGGGCTTCTCATTTGGCCAGGTGTGGGGGTGCTGTGATTTTCAGCTATGACCTTTCTAGCATGGAGCATGCATTTAATAAATGTCTGGATCTCAGAGAGTCGGGGGGCAGGAGGGCAGATCCAGGGTGAGGGATGGTTTTAGGGAGTGGTGGTATGAGAAGATATGGGGAGGAGAGAGGCCCAGGACAAAGAGGGGGTGTGTGAAAAAAAAAAAGGGAGGGCAGCTGGACGGGAAAGGGAAGGGCTTAAGGATTTCAGGAATGTAGAGAGTGGGTGGATGTGGCTAAGAAGGGGAGGGGGGTTGGGCCTCCTGCCAGCACCCAGGTACCTGCAGGCTCTCACCTAACTGCCTGTCTCTAACCCTTTTAAATTACTTTAATATTTATTGAATGCATTTTCTGTGCCAGGTACTTGCTAAGGACTTCCTGTGTGTTGTTTTTCCTCTAGTCCTCACGAGTCTATGAGTTATAAGAAAGTGGAAACTAAGGTTCAAAGAGGTTAAGTACTTGCCCCCAAATGACAATAGCTGAAAAATGTCAAAGCCAGAATTTGACTTGGGTACTTGTACTCATTACACTGTCTTTTTGAATAAAACTTCCTTGTAAGTCGATTTGGGAGACTTTCAACTGGGTTGAGTCTCACTGCCCAATGGGATATCTTCACCCTCCTGCCAGCCAGGGAATGGTAAAGGTTCTCAGGTTCCTTTGAAGTATCCTGGGAACCGCCCAAATAATTGTTTAGGTCGCATGGCCATCGGGCCCTTTTTGGAAATCTGAGCTACCTGCCCTGAATCAGGCCGATCAGCTTAATCCATATTACAGCCTGAATAACCTGGCGATTTGTGTACTGGTGTGGGGCTTAGTAGATCCCAAGGTGACTTGGAAAAGAGTGCTATAAACAGCCAGTGCCCACCCCAATACTGGTGATGGTTTTCATTTGGCTCTGCTAGTAAGCATCTTGGGTTTTAGGTACAGAATAGCTCATTCTCTGAAGGATTTTGCAGGCTGATGGGAGAGAGCCATAGAGCCAGTGACTGCACTGCATGGCAGGTGCTGGCACCGCTGTAGGCACAGGGTTCTGTGGGAACCTTTTTGGAAGCTTTCTGAAGGAGGCAGCACCAGAGTGGAGTCTTCAGGGATGAGCAGGAACCACCATGTGGGGCAGCAGGCTGTGTGTGTTTTGCGGGGAGGGGATGAGGGGGACCCTAGGATTTGTGGGGTTCAAGGTGAGACTGGTAGTTATGGAAAACGAGGCTGGAGGTGGAATGAGGCTTGGGCTTCGTCTGACACGTGGGGCAACCAAGCATCCTGGTGAGCCTGGGACTGAGGGGTTTCCCAATGCACGGGACTTTAAGTATTAAAACTGAGAAAGTCCTGGGGATGTGGTACAGATTGGTCCGCCTACCAATGACAGGTGACAGTTTCTAATGCACTCTTGCCCTGACCTAAGAGAGATTAAGATATGTAAAAGAAAATATTAAGATGTGTAAAAGAATTTAGAATTGACATTTTTTGAGGGCACACAAAGCATCTGTGAATGCCTCCCCTTTTTTAATGGATTTAATTTTTAAGAACAGTTTGAGATTTACAGAAAATTGAGATAGTCTGGAGAGCTAGAAACCCTTTTTGAACTACATTATTCTACATAATATTCCCAGCTTTCAGACTAGAAAGGAATTTTCATGTTAGACAGTATTTTACTTTTGCTAAACAATAGAAAACTGTGTGCCTGTGATCTTTGTGTACTGAATCGAGTTCATGATTTAGTTGAAGCAGATTGACATACTAAGAGGTTATTTGCTACATGTCATGGTGGTTTATTGCCCAGACTAGTGGCGAGGCTGTGACATTTACTAACAAATGCATATCGCTGAGCAGAACCTTTAATGAGAGTCAAGTGATTGCTACTGAAACATCACCTGAACCAGGAACTGTGAGTCCACAACTGATGAAACTTTTTTGTTCTTGTGATGTGTGATTGTCATAATTCCGATCTCCCTTTTGTATGGTTTAAGATTCTTGGGTGCCAATGACATAAACCCAGATGGAATTGCCTTAAACCCCAAATGGAACCGATTGGCTCCTGTCACTGAACAGTCTGTCCTGGCTAAGCCGTGGCTAAGTCCAGGTGTTCAGGTGAAGCCATCAATATCTTCCTGTTTCCAGTTCTGATCTCTCCTTTCTCCTGTATTGGTGCAATTTTCAGCAGGCTCCAGGCTTACATCATATCAGCTTAGCAATCCCTGGGAAAAGCTTCTTTTCTTAGTATTGCTAGCAGAAGTCCAGAATTAAGTATTGTTAAACCAACCTGGGATCTCATGCCCATCCCTGAACTAGTGACAATGGCAGGGATTGTGGGGTGCTCTAATTGGCCTTTCCCTGGTGCTCGAGTGGCATCAGTTCCACCCAAGCTAGTGGTCAGAGGATGAGAGGAAGGGGTGGTTCCCCATAGGAAAATTAGGGATTATTACCCAAAGAGATAGAGAATGTATACCCAGCAGGCAGATGTTCACCTAATTGGTATATTCAACTTTTGTCTAAGATAGCACTGATTATTTTTAAAGCTTGGGGTACAATATTGCCAGATTCATTTTCTTAGATTCATTTCATATTCCCCGTGGTGGGTTCAAGGCACCCACTATGGCAAGTCTAAGTTTTTCTAGGCCTTCAGAGTGCTCCAGACTCTATTCCCAACCACCTGGTTTGGTAGCACAGAGGAGGGTCCTCAAAGCCAGGCTCTAGAATAGGAGCATCCTTGGTGGCTGGACACCCATTTAAATGGAGACTTGAAGGATGAGTGGTTATCACCGTACTGAGGTGGTGGGGTGCAGGGTGGAAGGGAGGACGCTCAGGCAGAGGAAGCAGTGTTTGAGAAGCCTGGTGGAGAGAGACCTGGGTCGTTCAGTAAGGGCTGTGTATGTACATGGGCGAGGAGGACGTGTAGTACCCTAGAGGAGAGAAATAAGGCGGAAGAGGTGACAGAGGCCAGGTCCTGCTGGGCCCTGTAAATCATGGTATGGAATTAGAACATTAGGCTGAGACCAGTGGGGAGCCATTGAAAGTTTTTAACCAGAGCAGTGCTGTGGGCCTGCCAAAGTTGGAGAATGGATTGGAGGAGGCAAAACTGGAGGTGAGTGTCCACTCGGGGGACTGCTGCCATCTTCTGGTAAATTAGGGTAGCAGTCCACTGTAATCCAAGGATATTTCTGTGCCATTTCACACTGATGGTCCTTCATACTCACTGTTATATGCATCTCATATGCCCACTTGTCTGCATCTTTGTTCCCTCCACTAGAATTCCCCTCCTCTTTTTGCCTATCCAAATGCTTAACTGTATCCTCTAAATACCAGTTCTTCCATAAAAATTGCCCTGGTGACATCAGCTAAGAAAAAGTTTTACCATCTTCTCTAACTTCGCATGTTCTTGTTCTCGCTGTCTCACTCAATTAACACATTGTTGTATACAGTCTTCTCATAGCCAAAGAGTTAGAATAGCTGTTAGATGCTCTGAGCTCTTCAAGCTTTATCCCTAGAAAGCTGGCCAGCGTTCCTCAGGCATGT